TAAACCAGCACATCATTGCTCAAAGAGCTCTCCAAGCACTGTCACTGTTGATGGAAACCATCCCGCTTTTCTCTGACGCTATCTACAGTGTTGAAGGATGAAACAGTGCAGTTAAGATCAGCGACGGGGTTAATACATCAAATGGCCTCCAACCCCTCCAGACCAGAACCATGTTGTCATTTATGATGTCACTTAAAATTCTGGCTTTTGCTAGAGTTAATAAGTCATTCTTAACTTCCCATACTGATAAAAAAAAGGGATATTTTTAGCTGCCTTCAGCTCCAGAGCTTTGGATAGATAATAGCTCTGTTTTATCCTCTGCACACAACCCAAAAAGAATTAGCTATGAGGGGATGAGAAAATGGACCCCATGACCTTGTGCAATCTATGGTGCTATCCAGCATTTCTAAAAGGTTGTGAGAAAGGATACAGGCATGTGTGCAACAAGGTCAGTATGTGCAGAATTTTCTTGGCTTGTTTTAAGAGGGACCATAAATCACCTGTAGTGCTAAGACTGTTGAATAAGTGGTCGGGATTTCGCCTCTTACATCTAAACTCTTTGGATGACTCTGTTTCAGGTGCATTACGTATGACTATAAGGTAGCAAGTTGTTTTTTCCTTATCTTGTCTTGTTTACATGACCTGTCTTTAAAAGGTTCATCACACAATACTTTGCTTATTTATTTAGCTGAAATATTGCACATTTTGTCCAGGGGAATGCACCTGTCATTTATGTTGGCTGTTATGTTTCAGTGAAAAAATGATTGGATGAATAAAAAACTGATTGAACAGAAGACTCTTTGATAACGGCTGATGTTATGAAATGAAAGTGTCTATCCTTTCCAAGGTCTAAGCTTTTTATTAGTTCTTTCCTATTGAGCCGATATTTCTGTGTTTGAGAGGTGGCCTTGCAGTCAACACGCAGAGGCACACGGAGCTGGCTGGCTGCTTTTAATCTCGATATGTCACATGTTCACACCTCAGCAGGAATGTGAAAAACGGTCTCCAGTCCACTTGCCCCCGCGCGAATGGCGGTGGACATTACGCAAGTTCTTTAACTTAACTCCCCTTTCCTTTACAAAACACTAGATGTTTTGTTGCTATGGTGATGAAACCCCAGTCAAAACTTCCCATGCTTACTAATTTGCAGCCACGGGGAGATTGTTCACAGCAGCGTGATTTTCTTGCTCCCAGGGATAGTTTTAAGATGATTGGGTTAATGAGCATAATATTAACAACCACAGATGAGTAGATAAAGGTGGAACCTGTAACAGTGAAATCAACTCAACATAACCAGGCCTCTTGAAAACTAGACGGAAAATGTAAAAGGATTAGCCTTTGCTTCATAGAGTTTTCAGATTCAAATGGAGAAAAACAGTCAATGCCTGTATTGACAAACTTGCCTTTAACGCCTCAAATGACAGATCCAGGATGTACTGAAATTGCAAGGTCAATAAGTTTAAAAAGATGCAGAACACCACAAGAAAAGTCTCAGAACGCATATTGCCTGCATTATTGAAAAAATGCAATCCTAATTTCAAAGTAGTGTCACAAAATTTTGTTTGTTCTGTCCTTTAAGTATTGCTGAAAGTGTGATTAGTTTTTATGCAGATGATGCTGCAACTATGATTATATATCAGTCTTTTACTATAAAATAGTCCTGGTGCCCAAATATATATACGCTAACGTCCCTTCTCATGAGTCTTAGTGTTCAGATTAGAATTAAAAGCCATTCAGGCTCAGAAACAGTTAGGTCTTAAATAATTGATAGAACCAACAACAGTCACAAAAAGCAAAATTTTAACAGCAACAAAAAGGCTTTATTAAATTTTTCAAGAAATGTATTTTTTTTCTTTCACCCTGATATGACAAGAGAGTATAAATGCCAACCTGGTTTCTCAGCATTACAACATGCTGAAAGTTACCTGGGAAATTAGTGATTTGTGTGTTGACACCTAATTTCTGACCATAGTCTTCCATAATAGTTTTGGTCATTAAGTATAAGTGCAATCATTTGTTATTCCGTTTGCTGCACATAGTTTAATACATTTTCGCAAATTTACTTGACTAAATCAGAAATGGTTAGAAACATATGTGATTAATTTAGGTATTTGTGAGAACATATTTGAAGAATGGAATAAAAAAAAAACTGTGAGGCAGAATAATAATGAATAAATGTTTACAAGTTCTCAGAATTTTGGCTGAAAATGGTTTTGGACAACAGAGCAGACTTGGAAAAAAAATAATACCGTCTCACAATTTCTTTGAATTTATTATGCAACATAATCCTCTTATATAAGATATTTGTTCACACCCTTAAGTATGACACATGAAGACCTTCTTTATGCTTCTGCCTTTTTAATCAGCAAGAACACAATTCAAGCCTCTTGAGCATTTCCACATCAGCACAGGTGTCATTTTGTAGTCTTTTCAAAGGGAGGTTGCTTGGTTTATCTGGCAGGAACACACAGCGCCTCCAGTCACTCATGTGTTTAACACGTACATATGACAACAGACTCCTCACTTCTTGCATTCAGTTGGATGCACAACTGCGAGGTTGGATTTATGCAGTAGAAATATTTTTACTTGGGTATGGACAAGATTATGTTTGGGACTAAATTACATTACTTCTCCACTCCTACATTCATTTCTGCTGGCTGCCTCGGTTACATTTCAACTCAGCATGTTACTGTAAGGCTTCCTTATTAGGTTTAGTTTATGATTTAATTTGGATATACAGAAAACAGTTAACATTAAAAGGTCAAGTATTTATCAGAAGTGATCATAGTTATACTCTGCCTGCAACTAAGAAGAAACACTGCGTTGGGGTTCTGCATATATGGGCACAGGGCCGTCCTAGCTTAATTGTGTTTTTCATCCTTTTCTACCTTATTTGTACCCCTGCACTAGTTTTCTTTATCACTGTGCATCCTTGTATATTCATTTATGAGAAGTGGAAAAAAAAGATCCCATCAAATTACTATGATGTGGAGCTGGAGAATTGCGATATGAATCTACTGTACGGTTAAATGCTCTTTAAATGTTGCTGTTCCATAATAGAGGATTAGTGAGGGGTGGCGTTTCATTCAGTGTGGAAAATGGGAAGAGACTCGGATCTCACTGAGCAGAGAAAGGTCATGTCACCAGTGGGCTTCAGTGAGGAAACAGCACTGAGGCAAAATTGTAGAGAAGAGCGTTCCCCATCGTTATAAAAACTCCAGAAAAGACATCTACAACTCAGATGTGGGTTAGAAAGAATTATCTGGATATAAGTGGATGCTATTTTTTATTTAGCTGGAAGTCATGTTTTTGTGTCATGTGCTTTGCACATCTCTGTGCTCTTCGAAGACTGAGAACAAAATGTGGGATCTTGAAATCCGCACCTTGCACAGCAGTGATAATGATATTCAGTGCTTGTTTGGTGTTTCTAGACTTTCATTTACTTATCTTTTGCTCAATTCTTTTTCTCATGTAAGCTCTGTAAGTTCCTGATTTTGTTGTTTAGGCTGCCACCTTTGCACAAGTGTATCATATATTCAGCATTTATTATTATTCTATTAAACCATAAGATACAGTTAAAGAAACTAAAAAGTTTTTTTCTGCATTGCAGCCAAGAATATAGGATCTGACATTAACATTCATCTGATGTAGAAGAATCTATTAGTCATCATGAAAATGTTTACATTCCTGAGAAATTGGTGCCAATCTTTGCAAAATGTAGTTTTTCGAGACCTCTGTGGTAAATAGAAAGCAGGTTTAACAAAAATTTCCCTTAATTTTTTCATTCCTCCTGGATCTTAACTTAGCATGTCTCATTTCCAACACTTTTATTCAGACTCCATCTGCTTCTTTTTTGGCATATTCATTCAACTCAGATATTTTCCCATGTCCAATATCCATTTTTGTAATGCAGTTCAAGAGAGGTCAGTAGTTTTTTTTGGATCACAGTCATCTGCTTTAAGAGGATTTATGAGTATGTTCATAGTGAAGTACCCGATGTTGCCATATTTGGAGAGAGCAGATAAGAGATTGTTTGTTTGGTATTATTTGTTTAAAAAAAAAGACTGGCACAGTGAAAATAAATAAGAACACAGTGTGCAGGCTTGAGTCCATCTTTAGCTGATCCTGAACCGGAGACATTGACAGACTGGTTTGAGTACGAAATTATGAACAGCGTTTATTTTTGTAGTTTCATTTTTAATGGCAGCTTGAACAAATACCGACACTTGAACGGCTGTTTTTGTTTGATTGGATCAGTGTTTGTTTGTTTGTTTTGCTCTAAGAGGAAATGAGGAGTCTATTCTCGGGACGTGTCTTTTGTTTTAGCGTTATAGAGGGAAGCATCCTCAGTCACTCATGAACTAAACGCTGTACAAACTCAACCTGGAGCTGCAGAGAGGAGCGCGCGTTGGTTCACCTGCAGGTGCGCACTTATCTTCAGAACCATGGACAGCAACCACCCCTCACCGACAAGAAAAAGGGTCTCCTAACAAAAGAAGACGCTTTCTAAAGATTCGCTTTAATGCAAAGCTTCTGGAAAGGGCTATTTTTGGAGTCATTTGGTAGTAAAGATATCCAGATTCCTTTATTTGTACTAGTCTTTATTGTGGTAGTGTTCATTCATTCATTTTTGTTATGTCAAGACAAAAGGGAATTAACAGCTGGAGTTAGTTGTCTTGGTCTCTCGCTTCTCACCAGTAGGCTCAACTTGTATCAAACGGTTGTTTATGTTAACCGTCAAGTGTTTTTTAGTCTTCGCCACATCGGGGTGTGTGCTCCATGTAAAGTGTCAAGCGCGTTTCCGACTGGGCGGGGGCTGAACGCATGTCAGGCATATGCGCGCCGTGGGTGGGTGTCGATGTGTTTGAGGAAAATGAAAAGAAAAAAACAAAAAGAGAAAAAGCCGAAGGGGGAGTGCAGCGCTTGAGCGAAGGGGTTAGGCAGAGGTAGGTGATGGTCGGGAGAGATGCAACTGGCGTCCGCCTCAGCTCTCCAAAGCGCTGCGCTTTGGCTGGGAGCGGCGAGGCGCGCTCTGCCCCCCCACTCCCGAAACCACCTGTATGGATGATCACACATCCAGCGTGATTCGGTCACCCTCGTCGGCCAGGGGAGCGGAAAAGGATGCCGTAGATCCCAGGGGTTATGGCGAGGTCCAGAAGGGCACCATGACGGTGGAGAACATGCTGGAGGAGTCCGCCGTGCTCTCGGCGCCTCACCTGTCGGTGGATCGATGCGCGCGCGGCCGCCGGGGAGGCTGCGAGAGGGTGGTCATCAACATTTCGGGTTTGCGCTTCGAGACGCAACTTAAAACTTTCAACCAGTTCCCAGACACGCTGCTGGGGGACCCGCGCAAAAGGATGCGCTACTTTGACCCACTTAGGAACGAGTACTTCTTTGACAGGAACAGACCCAGCTTCGATGCCATCCTGTACTATTACCAGTCGGGAGGACGCATTCGGAGACCCGTTAACGTTCCCATTGATATTTTCTCAGAGGAGATTAGGTTTTACCAACTCGGGGAGGAAGCCATGGAAAAATTCCGCGAGGACGAAGGGTTTATTAAAGAGGAGGAGCGTGTACTCCCCAAAAATGATTTCCAAAAGCAGGTTTGGCTGTTGTTTGAGTATCCCGAAAGCTCTGGACCAGCAAGAGGGATAGCTATCGTTTCGGTACTTGTTATATTGATTTCAATTGTTATTTTCTGTATGGAGACTCTACCCGAATTTCGGGACGAAAAGGACATAGCCACGGTGGCGCCCACAGTTAACGGCACAGCTTCCTACGTGCCAAGTCCCTTCACAGATCCCTTTTTTGTGATAGAGACGCTGTGTATTATCTGGTTCTCGTTTGAGTTGCTGGTCAGGTTTTTCGCCTGCCCCAGCAAAACCACTTTTTCCAAAAACATAATGAATATCATTGACATTGTCGCCATAATTCCTTACTTTATCACTCTGGGGACAGAGCTGGCCGAGAAGCAAACTAACGGTGGCCAACAGGCGATGTCCCTGGCCATCCTTAGGGTGATCAGACTGGTGCGAGTCTTTCGCATCTTTAAGCTCTCACGACACTCAAAGGGACTTCAGATTTTGGGGCAGACCCTCAAGGCGAGCATGAGAGAGCTGGGCTTGCTCATATTCTTTCTTTTCATTGGAGTCATCCTCTTCTCCAGTGCAGTTTACTTCGCGGAAGCGGACGACCCTTCATCCAGCTTCACCAGCATCCCGGATGCTTTTTGGTGGGCCGTCGTTACCATGACCACCGTCGGATATGGAGACATGCACCCGGTGACCATCGGTGGGAAGATAGTGGGGTCGTTGTGCGCAATAGCAGGCGTGCTGACCATTGCCTTACCCGTGCCAGTGATTGTGTCCAATTTCAACTACTTCTATCACCGAGAAACCGACGGAGAGGAGCACCAGCAGTACCTGAACACGGCCAGCTGCGAGCACCTGCCCTCTGAGGAGCTCAGGAAGTCGTGCAGCTCCTCATCCCTCAGCAAGTCAGAGTACATGGTGATAGAGGAAGGCATCAAGCAGCACAACTTTACCACAGAAAACAACCAGAACTGCGTGAACATCAAAAAGATCTTCACAGACGTGTAATTGAAACTTATAATGGATTATATATGAAGCATGAAGAAATAGGCCCAGTTATAATATTTTTATATCCGGCCGTGATGTGTCAGTCCATATCTGTGGCTGAATGCTGCAAATGTCTGTTTTAATATGGTATTTATGAACTATTTAATTTATTACATGAATAAGACACTCTAAGTTGCAATGACAAACAAATCATTCCGTTCCACGTTGCAGTAAAACATAAAATCTACGTCTACGTGGGTTGATCATTCAGCTCATTTTCAGTGTAAAACGTCACACGATGCCTATCTTGATCGTTAGAGAACGTTTGTGTTCATGACTGGGGTACACGTGTAGCATATTGAATCTTACCGCAGTCCAAAACAAAGTCTTGTGCTTTTGTGGAAAAATAACTGTGCCGTTGTCCAGTAATGTAATCAATAGACAACAGTTATTTCTGTAGCCAAATGCCTGCTTAGGGTTATCTCTAATATCATAACCTGTGGACATGTGGACTCTGCAGGCCCGTACGCAGAGTGATGTAGCCTACATGGAAACGCTTATCATAAAGTACAAGTTGAGCTTTTCGTAAAGTTGTATTTTTTTTAATCAATAAATGCCTATAATCTATATTAAATAAAACAGCAACGAAGGAGAAATGGAACCCTAAACTGTCATTCGTGTTTATTTGTTATTTGTGAGCAGCAGGAGTTTGGGACTGGTGTGTTTGAGGTCACAAGCGCAGTGATGACAGCATGAAAGCAGCGTGGATGAAAGGAGGGAAATCGTGCAGCTGGTCCCCGCCTTCTTCTGAGCCCGCCTTGTGATGCAGTCTCCATGACAACGGTGGTTTCCTGGGCAACCCCCTCTGATGCTAGCATTGCATTGTGTTGCATATCCCCAAAGACTGTGGTTTATACACGTGATTGTCACGGAGGGGGAAAGGTGGCGGCCTCAGTGGATCGTCTTTTTGGTGGATAACATGAGTTTTCACATTTGTTTTCTTACTTAAATATGTATCAGTTAGCCAGACCCTTTCCTGTTTGTGTTTACGGTCAATGGTTCTTCAGCCTTAGTCCACTTACTGGCAGCTTTAGGAGTTATATGAAAACATTAGTCCCCCTGCTTTGTCTCCTTTCACAGAAAGGGCTTCAGCTCTGTTCCTCAGATGTGAACTCCATTCTCTGAGTTGGCATGCCAACTAGATCTGACGTCAGCTACCTTTCATCTCTAGCATGTGAGCTTTAGAGGAGAGGTGACATGAAAAACTAAAAGCAAATCTCAAAGGTGTCTGACAATCAATGGCAGTGCTGGGCATCCTCAGATGTTGCACACTGTTCTCCAGATGGATGAAGTTCCATTCAAGAGCTTCTATGCTTATTTTATGGATTGAGAGATTAATATGTGGTGGTTTTCAACTAAACTGCAATTTGGAAGCATTGATGACCAAAAAGTCTCCACTAAAATGATGAGATCATTTATGAGATATTAAAACAATCTTAATATTAGATTAATTCTTATTTACTGCAATTTCAGTTATTTATTGTTTTATTCTTAACGATTTGGGCTACTTCATGAGCATCAAACAGACATGTTTAGTTTTCACTGTGGCCAAAGAATAAATCAAAATTCACAAAAAAAATAAAAAAGAACTACCTGTTTTGGTTTACTGTTCTCTGGAAAATAGCCCACCACTGCCCTCTAGTGGACACGGTGAATCATTACTGTTAGGTGGGAGAACTTGGGTGAATTGGTTAAGAAAAAGAGCCTCCTAAACAACAGCCAGCATTTTGGAGCTTTTAACTATTGGTACAAGGTATACATAAAATAAAGACCCACCTTAAACTCACAGTTTCAGAGACCCAAAGTTACAAACATAGTGCAAAGGATGTTCTTTATCTCTAAACAGTATTGGTACCGTTTATACAACGCTTCCCGCTCTAAATCTGAATCTGGAAATGTTCAAATTAAGATTACGTCGATATGGAGTAAAAGCTATCCAAAGAAGAAATAATTTCCATCCAGAATCTTCATAACATTTTCTGTCTTTGAATGAACTCGCATTAAGTGGATGCTCTATTTTCAGCTCTGTAGTTGCAATTTTAGTTGAACATGTTTTGTTAAATTTTGCGGTTTTCAATTCCTGTTCAGAGGTATTAATATTCCTTTGTCCTGGCAATTTGAACCAGGTGGAATACACTTGTGTGATTAACGCATCAGTTTCTCACATTAGAATACATGAAATAGCAATTACACCAAATATACTGATATCCAAGAGGGGGTTTTCAGTTATTAATCTGTTGAAAAGAAATTCTTTGAGATCACTTTGGTGTTTTATTTAAGTTAATCATTTTTACTGCATCATACTCGGGCTGAAAGAAAAAAAACAATGATTAGTTGTCTTAAAAATGTTGAGTGGGCAGTTCCTACTATAACTATTTTTACACCTGCAGCACTTAGAGAGAAACAGTGTTCTGTCCTTGAACCAGCACACTTAACCATCTAAGATTTGTCATGCAAGTCAGAAAAAAAAGGCATTTTTTTCAACAGCCTTTTAGTGTGACCTATTATTTTTATTACCCATGAGGAAAAAGGGAATTACAGGCTGAGCCAGAGCCAGGAGAAGGAAGACTTTACTTACACTTTGTCTGATTTTGAACCAGCACTGATATCAAGGTTGATTTGCAGAATGCTGGGTTTATACCTGTCATAATTAGCATCACCAGTATTACATACAAACTCTTGTGTTAAAAAATAATAATTGTAGGACTAAGAGTAAGTGGGAAAAGGCAATGTTGTGAATTTCCTAATCAAATATCAAAACTCAAACCGTGACATTACATGAGACATCACATTGTTATTTCCTATGATTTTTGTCATATTCATATTTAGCTTTACATGATTTAATGTAGGTTAGTTATAAAGTGGATTTGTTTCTTGTGGTGTGATTGGTCTTCAATAGAACTTAAATTAATTAACATTTACTCAGAAGGAAGTAAACGTGACATTGTTTTGAGATGACATAAAGAGAAGCATCATTACTCTAAAGTAATTCGGTTTAACTCGTTAAATTAATAAGTCGCCCCTCTCTCCGTTGACTGTTTTGCCTGCACAGCCATAAACTGCAGTCCTGTAGACCAGATCTGTGTGTCCTACAGCTGCAGGTGCTGTCTCAGAACTGCTGAGTGGCTCTGTACTCTCCGTCTCCTCTCCTGGACTTTAAGTCCTTCATCAATCTATTTTTAAACCTTGGAAAAGCAAAATAGGTGCTTTCAAATGGACTGGAGTCGTTACTCATCTCCTGCATAGCCCGACTGCTGTTCTAGTAAGGGACACCTGCAGTTCAGTCTGCCTTCCTCTGTTCCAGGTCTTTTGGGAGGTGGAAATCTCATTTGTGGTACAATTTTTTTTGCTGGAATATAATGGCCCATCATTTATTTTATTTTCTCCCTGCTAATACAATAACTTTTATCAGTCATCTGTATAAGTCTGGAGACAAATAATCTTACAGAAGCAGTGTCTTCCAACTTAATGTTTAGGTTTAAATGCTTCACGTACACTAAATGCAGCAGTTAAAAGGCGTATTTGAAATCAAGAGGCATACTTCTGTCTTCCAGTGTGTGTGACTGTGTTGGCTAAAAAATGTGACAACAAATGTCACCAACTGTTTCACCGTTCCTTTGAGAGCCTGTGTGTGCGTGTCCGTGCATATGAATAAGCACGTATGAGTCCTGCAGCTGAAAGATAGTCACAGCTCCCATGAGTCATTGCACTCTGCTTGTGAGATCTTTGTCTATTCAGAACGGCAATTGCTGGACAACAAAGGCAAACCAACAAACTTGCATGCAGGTTCGGAAATACGCGCAAAAATAACGCAAAACACAACACGCGGCTAGCTCCATGGCTGGTTCCTGACAGTGCTGCTGCAGGCAGATGTGATGATTTAAATCCACGATTCCACTCAGTCTGGGTTGAAGCGGGGAGCTGGAGGAGAACTTAGGCTTCCCTTTTTCTCCCATCCCTTTTTTCCCCCCTCCTCATCTCGCTAACATTCGCTGTATGAGTGGAGTCATGTTTTGCAGCAGTGTGCTTCCTCTGATGATGCCCAGACATGGTGGGGGGGGGGGGTGTCTGCCAGGAGAGGTGCCTTTTGTCATCCTTGAACTTTACTGATACGTGCAAATGCCTAATCAGTGAAATGAAGCTGGAAGGAAGTGGCTGCATGCACCGCAATTAACTGCAGCACTGGACACGTTCGGATGATATTTCAAGTGTTACAGGATTTGCCCTAAAACTCTGACTGGGTGTAGCCTCCAAAAGGAAGCACGAGACGCATTTCCATTATTTGTCATTGCCGTTCATCCATCTGCTCTTTGCACGACATGTAATGGCACTCTAGGGGCTATTCATAAAGTTCACTCTTCTGCATCACGTACCTTCGTTCAGGGCTCTCAGTGAGACAGAGCAGCCCCCCCATATACACATCCATGTATCTATAGATACATCTTTATGTGGGGTTTTTTCCAACGACAAATCCTCTCCAGCTAAAGCTGCAGAGCACATAGAAATGTAACTGCTTTGTCATCATGCTCCTAACTTTACCTGAAATATCTCACTGGCAACAGAAATGCTGTTGGTGTGACGTCACTGCCCACCCTCCTCCCGCACCTGCCCCTCTTCCCCAGATATGGTCTCCATAGCAACCGAATGAGGCTGGTCAAAAGAGTCACCCACAGCGACAATGCTGACTTTGGGCAACTTCTTTTGATGCTCTGGATCTGGGAAGCGCCTCCCGCAGGTCTGTTCATTTTAACCTCAGCAGACGAGGTTAGTGGGGCTGAGTCAGATATGTGTGAGCTTTTTGGTTTAGAGTGTGTTTTCCTTGCTCATCCTTCAGGTGTCCAGTGAGTCAGAGCGGCTGCCGGGTTTGGCAGCAGCGCTCCCGACTAAAGATCAGACCGCCGCTCGCGGCCGAGGCCCTTATTTTGAATCCTTAAGTCATTCGCAAAACAAAAAAACCAGAGGGTGGCTTCTTCACACCGACACAATGGCTGTCACTGTAAATCCCACAAATCCCATAATGTGCATCTGTGCCGGAGCCCAGTCGCTTTCGAAAGGTATAAAGCCGACCCAAATGCGCACCTTCCAAATGGCTTTGACACATCGGCTCATGCAGCATTTCACCATTTAAAAGGAGCAAAACAGGAGCGGGGTGCCGCATGCAGAACAGGCAGCCACATGTTTTTACAGAACCCTGCAGTGTGGTGTCACCGACACACGCTTAGATTTTTGTTATCTGCCCCCCCCTTGTGCAGAAAGGCATCTTATTTCTGGTCTAACCTTGGTGTAGTGTGAGACTCTGTTCCTGAAGTAACGACTTACCTTAGCTTGAATTTCACCCACTTGTGCAGACACATTGTCTAATGCAGCATGAGAGTGTCCCTGCGACGGTGACACTGACTCACTCCCTGACTCACTCACAGTCCTTCCCCTACGGATCAGGATAACTGTAGCCGGGAATTCTTTCCATTTTGTCATGATGCTGCTGTCTGCCGATGAAGGACTGCACAATAAAGGAGGCCGGTGTGTGTGTCTGATAGATATTAAAAGGCAGCATGACATGCATCACGAGCACTGATATGATGTGGGAAACATTTGTAGGTAGTTCCCTGCAAACATTTATATTTAGAGTGTGACTTGGTGGTGCTGGTGGGGTTTTGCAGAGCTTACTGGGAGCTTATTTGACCAAATGAGATGCATGTTGGCTGAGTTCCGCAGTAGACGGTGTCCTTGTGTCTCTCCTGGTATTTGGCCGGTGTCCAGCATCTGCTCTCATCCTGCTGGGCCTCAGTCTGATGGGCTCCACTCTCTCCTTTTCCTCCCTTTTCCATGTTCCCTCTGTCTCTGGAAAATGCTCCGTCTGCCCGATCCGCCCCCCCTTCATCATCTCCATTTCTCTTTGTCAATGCCGGAGAATAACTGTGAGCTCCAGGGCGCACGAGGACAAAAGGAGCTGTTATGCTTTATACTCTTGTACCTTAAGCCAGTTATTTGTTGGGATTACTTCCCTGGTCCTATAGTTTCATGTATACCTCAGCCTCTTTTGCAGGGCACTTCAGCTTTTATCTTCTGGAATGGCTCATCTCCCAGAGGGTTAAATTAATTGATTCTCAGTAGCATGGTTGTGGGATTGTTAAAAGTCCAAAAGAGTTGGGGAAATGAAATGGGAAAACAGATGCATTGGCTGAATGTTTTGTTTTCTTCCTACAACATAGAGTTTATTTTTCAAGTGATGTGATAATAATGAGTACATTAAAGAGGAAGTTGCATCATGATACCTAGCAGCCAAATCAGTATAAATGCAGCAGAACGTGATGTACAGCGCTCATCTGTTTGGTCTTCAGGCGTTAATGTCAGCTGTTATCAAGCTTGTTAGATCAAAGTTTTCAAGGTGATTAATCATGGAATATGACTTAAAATCACTAAATATCTGTGTTTATGAAACGTGTGGCTGCTGTATTACACTCAAGAAAGTGCACGATTTGAATTGCAACGATGTGGGACATTCATAAACATGCATTACATGTTTTAAAACTGATTGAATTGCCACAGGATGTTTTCTATGAAGGGTCTCTGCAGCTGTACGTAGATGCATGAATTGTCTTGTACATTTACTGTTGTCTGTATTTTTTATTTTGCACCCAATTTTTTTCTCTTTCATTTTCTTTGTTCTACCTATCAGGCTGTACGTTAACGTATAATTTCAACACAAATGCTGTTTAAAAAAAAAAAATTTAACCTAAAAATTTTTTTTGTCTTAAATACAAATATTTTGGGGGGAATTTATAATGTTAAAAATTTCAAAAATTATTATTTTGGATATAAAAGTAGTGAATACAAGAATTTGCCCATACCTTACATTGCAGAGATAAAATATTCCTTGTCCCCAAGCTTTAAGGACTCCTTTGACAGCTTAACTTATAAGGTCTTTCACAAGTGGGTCATTGAGCTATCTGACCAATGTGAAGGTAGGGTATACAATAAAGGATGCAATCCAGATATTTATTTTGCTAACAGGGCACCTGAACCTCATGCAGCAATTTGTTTTAATCAGGTGAAATCCTTTTTCCCCCCATTAAAGTATAGCAAAGGATAAAGTATTATTTGCATAATGAATCAAGTTTATATGTTCACTTATGTGTTCAAACTAGTGGTCAAATGACTTTGTGTCAAACAAAATTAATTACATTCCCTATTGTGCCTATTGAATTGAACTGTTCTTGTTCATTAAATTAATTAAACAGCAAGATTACAACAGAACGAATGTTGGCAATGTCAAATAAACAGAAGGCTTTGCAGTCACCCTAATGCAAAGTAGAAATTAATCTTCATTATCTTAATCACAAAGTTTATTTCCTGTGCTGCTACCCGTCCATCAAACCAACACCTGATAAGGATGAGAATAAGTCCAGAAATCAATAGCACTTGAAAAAGATTTCACTGCAGACACTTTTATTTTCCATCTCACAAAGCTACCCATTTCCTCACCTCCATTTGATTAAAACACAGAGCATTTAATGTACTGCCGGCTATGCTTTTAATTATAGTGGGCCATCTCGTGCAAAATGAGCTGAGCTTGAGAACTTGCATTTACAGTCACTGTAACAGCCCCCCAACCTTTCCAACATAAATAATAGTAGTGTTGTCATGAGGAACCCAGGATAGCCATTAAAAGATAGTAAGAAGTGTTTATGTTTTAGCAGGCCGGCCGACAATCAGAATGGAGGACGCTGGCAGCCATGATGTTCTCACGTCTGCCAGGAGTGTAACCTTGGCAAAGCCGAGTCTCACACAAATCATCCCACTGTCAACCCCACCCCAGTCCTCCCCCCACCTTCACCTCATTCCCCTCCATGACTGAGGGGATTCCCGCTGACCTTTGGCTTCTCTGGGCAGGATACCTTCCCTCTCAGCTCCAGCACCTAAAACGACGAGAAGATTTACCATTGATTGGTTTTTGTCTTCTTTTGAGATGCAGCTGGGCGCACTGATGGAGGTTTTGCTCTATTTTTGTACCCTTCTAATTTATTATTCATGGTGCTTGTTGCCAGGAAAGATTACAACAATGACTGCTGTGAACAAACCATAGAAAAAAGTGAGAGATGCTGCTTGTGTACATGCTGAGACCCCTGATTTGGTCACCATAGTATGATGGGGCGAAATGGGGGATAAAAGCTTTAAATGAACACATTTCTTGTCAAATGCGGACACAGCTGAGTACAACATCTGTATTATCTAAAACCTTATCAAGATCTTGATTTATTTTTTACAGTGACCAAAAGCTGTGCATCTTTACAGATCCTGGGTTGTGTAGTCTACCCCTTTAAAATCCCCACACTGCAGATAAGGTAGGTACTGGTGAGCTACATTGCGGATGGGGAGTGCCTTTTTTTTCCTTTTCGCCTCTCCCGCTCAATCACCGGCGTTTCTTTTGGTATGCACAGCACTGCCCGACTGCAGGTTTGACCAATTATACAGTGGCCAATACTGGTCCTAGTTTCACAGATGTTTCCCCCCCCCCCACAACTGTTACCGGCAGCTGATTTAAAAATTCGCACCACCTGCCGACCCCGGCTCGGTGGGGGCGCAGGTCCATTAAAGGCCGCGCGTTGCTGTGTGCGCACGGGGCGCTGGCTTTAGTAGAAATTGCATAATCTTTTGGTTACGCTACGTGGGGCGATTTTTTTCACGCGTGTCGTTTCAAGTCAGTGTCTGAAGACGCCACTCTCCCCACCACGGAGGCTATTAGGGAGGCTGGGAACAGTGTCTCTGCGCGCTGATCGCCGGGACGCACTGGACTCTGCCCGAGCGTGTCTGCGTCTCAGACTGCAACAGTGACTTATATGTGGGCGTATGTCTAAGAAAAATAATAACCTGTACATCTGGCTGTTGCATGAATAAGTTTGTTCCGAAGCATTTTCTTCACGTTGAAATGAATACGGAGGTAGCCGATCCTTCCAAGTACGCACACGATTGTTTAAAATTGGTAATTACATAAAACATTTTTAGGTTCTCTTCCTCGACGCGCCTTTTTTCTGCCCCCCCCCCCCCCCCCCTCCTTTCTTGTGCAGATGTTGCCTGTCTGGGCATCCTAACTGGACGATTTACCTTTGCAGCTTCCAGCAGCCACCCACACGTCAGTCACCCTGGCGTGGAGGGGAGCAGCGGGAGAAGATCGTTCTGCTGATTCCAGCACCTTTGGTTATTAAGGGAAGCACCAGCACCTCCTTGATCGGCTCCCTCCTCCCTTTTTTTTTTTTTTTTGCCCATCGCCATCCCACGACAGCCTACCCGGAGGAGAGGAGTCGGGGAGGGGAAAGCGAGGACACACCCGCACATACTGTACGCGGTGTACACGGCAAGGATGCTGCAGACAACATGAGGTGAATATCACCGACTGTCCCAAATTGGAAATCCATTCCTTTTTTTTTTTTTTTTTTTTTCCTTCTCTCTTTGAAGACCTGATTTCCCCAGCTGGTTATTCACCTCCTGGAAACCCTGCGGGAGCATCAACTCTTATCCAAAAATGAAAAGGATGCCTGTAGGTATGTACATTAAGATGAAGCAGCTTTCTCTGTCGGGTCAGTTCTGATTAGACATAATAATGAATACCGGCATCTTGTAGTTGATGTGCTGTTTTGCAGCCCAGCTGAGGACGCATGATGAGTAGACCTGCAGTTAGTGTGTTTCATGAGGTTATTCGTTTGCAAGACTTTGTGAGGGAAGATTATGAAGACACTGATACTGAGACAGTTTTTCTCCTGGAACCTATTTCCTTCTATTGGTTAATAATTGATAGATGTTTTTGAATATTTCAGTTGCAGGCACCATTTCAAGACTAAAATGTTTCATGACAACTAAACAGAAGTCAGTTTATACGAAGCTGTTTTGCATTTTTCGCCATAGCCTATTTTAGTTACAGTAAATTGTGAAAGGGCTCCCATGTTTTCATGCTTAGACTGCAGATATCTGGGACAGGATGTTGTCTGCGTGAGTTTATTGTCTGCTGCATTGCCATACTCATGTGTGGCTGCTCTAAAAACTCATTCATTTTAGGATATATTCCAGCAGATTATTGCCATAATTTATGTACTTATGTTGTTGTTATATATCAGATAGACCCACCAGGTTACCTGCATTTAGGGGATTTATATGCAAGACAGATTGCTCTTTTGCAGCACCGGCTTCAAGTTTCCAGTCAATTTACAAGTTACAATTTTTCACTTATGAGGGATAAGTGACCCATTTTCAGGGTCTCTTGACAGGGCACTAATTCCTGTCCTTGCTGAGTCAAGCATAGGGAGCGTTGAGTGCTGAATCACTTCTCAGGTATATCTGATCTTTCTCTCTTTCTTTCTATCTGGTCTACATCCAGTCAGCTCCTAGGTGACATCCTGTGGCCCTCAGGTCTTTACGGTGTTGAGCCCCCTCCCTCTCCTGACCCCCGCCTGCAGTTCTCCTGGCTGCAGGACCCGGATTCGCTGAAAAGTGCAGGCCTCCTCCCCCTGCAGAATGACTGTTGCCACAGGAGACCCCTCTGACGAGGCGGCCGCGCACCCGGGTCATCCGCAGGACTACGACCCCGAGGCTGACCATGAGTGTTGTGAGAGGGTGGTCATTAACATCTCAGGGCTGCGCTTTGAAACACAACTCAAAACCCTCTCCCAGTTCCCAGAGACTCTACTGGGGGACCCAAAAAAGAGGATGCGCTACTTTGACCCACTAAGAAATGAGTACTTTTTTGACAGGAACAGACCCAGCTTCGACGCCATATTGTACTATTATCAATCAGGAGGCCGGTTAAGACGGCCAGTCAATGTCACCCTTGACATTTTCTCAGAGGAGATTCGCTTTTATGAGCTGGGTGAAGAGGCCATCGAGATATTCAGAGAAGACGAAGGTTTCATCAAGGAGGAGGAGCGGCCTCTTCCTGACAATGAGTTTCAGAGACAGGTGTGGCTACTGTTTGAGTACCCAGAGAGCTCAGGTCCTGCTAGGATTATTGCCATTATCTCAGTCATGGTCATCCTGATATCTATTGTCAGCTTCTGCCTGGAGACGCTCCCCATCTTCCGCAATGATGAGGACGACATGCACAAGGCCCATTCAAAAGTCTTTTCACCTGAGACCAACACCACAATCATCAGCTACACAAACACTTACTTCACCGACCCCTTCTTCATCCTGGAGACTCTGTGCATTATATGGTTCTCCTTTGAGTTTCTGGTGCGCTTCTTTGCCTGTCCAAGCAAAGCAGGCTTTTTTGGTAATATAATGAACATTATTGATATTGTCGCCATCATCCCTTACTTCATCACTCTTGGCACAGAGCTGGCAGACAGGCCAGAGGATGGTCAGGCAGGTCAGCAGGCCATGTCTTTAGCCATTCTCAGGGTCATTCGCTTAGTTCGGGTCTTCAGAATTTTCAAACTCTCACGTCACTCCAAGGGGCTTCAGATTTTAGGTCAGACTCTGAAAGCCAGCATGAGAGAACTCGGTCTCCTCATTTTCTTCCTCTTCATAGGTGTGATCCTCTTCTCCAGCGCTGTGTACTTTGCTGAAGCAGACGAGCCCGAGTCCCAGTTTGAGAGCATCCCAGATGCATTTTGGTGGGCTGTGGTCTCCATGACCACAGTTGGCTATGGTGATATGGTCCCAACTACAATTGGTGGCAAGATCGTGGGCTCCCTCTGTGCCATCGCAGGTGTGCTGACCATTGCCTTGCCAGTGCCTGTTATTGTGTCCAACTTTAACTACTTCTATCACCGTGAGACTGAAGGTGAAGAACAGGCTCAGTATCTGCAAGTTACCAAAGCTGAATCAGGTGAGGAGTTGAAGAAGAGCCGGAGTGGCTCCACTATCAGCAAATCAGACTACATGGAGATCCAGGAGGCTGTGAACAACAGCAATGAAGAATTTCAGGAGGAGAACCTTAAGACAGCCAACTGCACGCTGGCCAACACAAACTATGTAAACATCACCAAAATGCTCACAGATGTGTAGTCATCTGGTGTCGTCCTACTACACACAGTGGGGAATGTGGAGCTGAGCGACCGGATGGGACAGCTGTACCACCTCTTGTGTGGTGGAAATATTAAGGCAATAGAATTCCGAATGTTTGATTGACTGAGAAACAATGCGAGTCTCATCCCAGCCCTTCCTCTGCGCTCATCCCGTCTTCCCTCCTCAGAGCTTTTTCTTCAGACTCCTGAAAAAAATGTCTGAAAATTTTAACGTTTTTTCTTTCTGCATGGAGTTGGCTTTACCTATGCGGCTGCTTGGATTTAAAAAAAAAAAGATAACAATACTTAAAGGTTTTTAGCTCACAACTGTAGCGAACAGTAATGCACAAGAGGGAGGAAACGCGTAGAATACAATGCTTTCAAAAAGAGGGTGAAAAAAGGAAATCAACTCCCGCTTTAGACCCCTGTCCCTCCATCCCTCATTTCCCAAGGCACTTTGCTCTGCCATGTGCTTTCTGAAGAGCATGCCATGTGCTACATATGCTGCTTCTTGGAGCCAATGAAACAAAACTGTCTTATGCTTCACCATTTAGAGATAAAAGGATGTGTGAGCATAAAGCAAGCCCACTCCAGCGCTGACATGGCCTGCGGGTGACTTGTGACGAGGTCGGTGGTTAAGTACGCCACGTTATTTCAAGGATGAATGACAGCCATCAGCACTAAGCTTATGGTTTGACACCTTTTATCCCTGTAGACATCAGTATCTGATGAATGACTGAGAATGGCCTTGAATTTTCACTGCTTTGGTCTTATATGTACTGTATGTATTGCAATGCAAGCTTTCCCACCTCCATTCACCCAAACTTGTCTTACTGCGGAGCTTTGAGACAACTTGAATGTTTTTTTTTGTTTTTTTTTTCACAAGTTCACACACACAGTACTTATGCGTATAGATAGGTATCTTAGCTGTGACTTAACTGATAGCTGTTAGGTAGTTAGGTGCTGTTAGTAGTAAATGTAGTCAGTAGATTACTGCATGACATTTTTATCTGAATGAGAAGTCCCACTCGTTCCTCAACTGCCACTCGCCTCACCTCACCACTGTATTTTTGTCTGTACACTGCCTTCTGTACAAATTTACACTTAAAAGGAAGCCTGCAGGTAGCCGTTAAAACAACCTAAAGCTGTATGTTTGTGAATCTCTAAAGGAAAAAATCAACGTGATTGGTTCCTACACTTAATGAGATGCATATTAATGTTAACATTCCATGTAGAGGTCATTGCCGTTTAACTTTTACCAGTTTGCTGTAAACTGAGATGTGATTTTGAGCGTAAATTCACACTCTTGTATTGGACATTAATCCCACTGCGGATGTGATAGACACACTGTGGTGAAATTTTCACAGGTTTGTCACATCAAGTCCTCATGATCAAAATAGCAACTTTTAAAGAGTTGTGTATAGAGCAATGCTTCCCCAATCTGCCTTTTATCTCGGTTTACGCTGCTCTCCTAGTGTTGCATGAACTCAAAAACATTCCTAGCATGCGATTAAGCAAAAGCCTCAAAGTAAAAAAAAAAGGGGAAACAAAATTATTGCAATAGATTAATTTATTTCTTATATATAAAATCGTATATGTATACAGACAGAAAACATTAAAAATTCACATAGACTTTGAAAAGAGAATTAAAAAAAAAATTATGATAGCAATGTTTAAGAGAAAGCAAGAGCCTTTCCACAAATGTGTAGATCATCGCCATGTCCTTACTTTTAATAGTAATAATAATAGCTCTGAGCACTGCTATTCTCCTGTTTTCGAGTCTGTTCAGAGTGCCAAAGATTCACTTTAAGAAAGCCCTCTCAAAATGTCTTTGTGTACCTTGTATTTAAACATAAAGGTTTGCTTCACTTAATCCAAAACTGCCCACTGTAAAGTAGCTGTTGAAAGGCAGGGTCTCAATAGCAATTATCGTTAACCTGAATCTTTTATCTAAAATATTTTATTGCCATGACATTGACAGGAATATAAACTTAGAGTAAATGTCCTTTGATAAGTGTACCAGAAGCTCAAATTGTCTTCAAAAGTTGGCACCAAATGTGAATTAAGATCTGAGTCTAGGATTGTGTCCAAGAGTTTTCACCGCTCGCTCAACACTGCCACGGTAACAGTCAATGGCAGTAACATCAATATGGGAACCGATAATTAGCGCTAGTGTAGCAGATATTGTCTAACCTAGGGGTCCTCTGACTTCACTCCTGCGTCTGTTGCCTTTCTGCATCTTTTCACGGATGTCTTACATAAACTGAAAGGTGATGGATTAGGAGAGAGTCTGTAGCAAATGTGTCGATGAATTCTGTCATAGCAGGATTAACATCTTTGTTTTTGGGGGGTTTAATTCTGCTCACTACAGTCTCAACCTGCAGTAGCAAAATGTTTTAATGCCGTCGCTGCCGATTCGCACTCAGGATGCCTCGTCCAACTGCCTGACATGAGGCTTCTGAAGTCGTCTCTGTCCATATCTGAGGGTTTTTAGACTTTACTTTTTTGTGAATGATCTGCTTTTCTGAGAGTTGTTTGCCATTGGATTAAAGATACCTTGAGGTAGGATGAGTTTATAGAGTCGTTTAGCAATATCCCCATAATTCTTTGATGGAGGAGTCTGTATGTTATTTAAAGAATTGACTCTCTACATGACTCCAAAGGCAACTATCATATCCAGTACCCTTGATCCACTCGATCATGAGTACTGGTTTGTGTGTGTTGATAGACTAAGGTTTGTGTGCGACAGAGAACTGTAAACCACTGAATGTCGGGGGTTGTGACGTGGTTAACATCTGGATTAATGCAACGTCCATTTGCATATCTGTATGTTGGGGGGTGGGGGTCACAGTTTGACCAAAAAAGATTTGCCTATGCATGCAAATGCACCACGTCGTATCATTTTCATTGCATTTCTATGGACAGACATTTCTGGTAAATGTTAACATCTTAACATTTATCTCTTCTATTTTGATATTTACCTCAGCTAAATTCACCGTAGCAACTGAGATACTGGAGTTCATAATGTTGTTTAACACTGAAAAAAAATCTGCTTAAAGCACAAAAATACATAAGATCATCATCATCTGTTCTCTTACAAATTTGTTCTGCACAATACTTTCATCCTGTGGAGTGTATGTCAATAGGAAAATGTGTTGTATGGTGTCACGGGGAGCATCATGGCCTCCAAGAATATCATCTCTCAACCACTGAGGGAGCCACCAGCAAATCCACTCCATGGGAAGGGGGGCCATCAGTGAATACTCAGAGAAATCTATGCAGATTGACAACAAGGTAGTTTTTGGGGGGGACAGTAGGTTTATGTATGTACTTTTATATTTTATTGGCCATCAATTCAGAGCTTACCAAAGAGCTGGCAAAGGTATTCAAAAGAAACAACAAAGTGAAAGCGTAACACCCTGCAACAACATGCTGCTGTGAGTCAAACTCGCATGCTAGCTGAATGTGAACATTAGCTTCGGGTTTCTTTGAACTGCCATGTCAGCTCTTCCTGACAACGCTTCTATATATAGCTCATACACATGGGAAAAATAAGATGATCAATATGCAAACTGTATGCTTGTGTGTTTGAGAGCCGGTGTCCTTTCTTTTCATTTGACCCCAGAGCCTGATATTGTGATATTCACTGAAACAATGTGTGCAGTTGTTCTCGTCTCCCCTGTTCTTCTGTATCATAGAGGCCTGTAAACATCCATCAACGCTGTTACCATGCATAATGGACTTTCTTTCTGTGAAATGAAATTAGGAAGAACAATGTAAATAATAATTAATGGATGATGGAGCAAAAACATGTATTATATACTGTACGTGAAGTCTGGATTCAAAACATAGTATTATCTGCACTTTACAACAAAAAGGACAATCTATGGACAAGAATAACATAACATGAATAAAAAAAAAAAACATATAATCCTACCAAAAGACCATAAACATGAAATAGTAATATCAACAATGAAGCCAATAATGATTCAACTGAAAATGTGTTTTGTGTGTTTATTGCGTGTCTTTTATTGTACTTTCTTGGCTTGAAATATTGTTTTGAGATCACACAAGCAGAGGTGTTTTTCAAATATTTTACCAGCTTGTTCTTTTCTTTTCTTTTTCTTTTTTTTTTGTTCCCTCAAATCACAATGTTCACAAGGTATTTAGTCTGCAAATGATCTGAAGGGGCTAATTTTAGCCGAAGAGCATCTGCACTGATACAAAATGCCACATATCCATCAAAGGCCTGTTTGTTGTTATTCTTAGGACGGCCAGCATCTTTGAAGCCACAGGCAGTGTAAAGGACATTTTCAAACGCCTTCCGGTATCTTCAGCTTCTGCCTCACTTTAAGTGCACGTATATGCTCCCAGCAGTTTTAAGAGAGGGAGCAGGGTGTCCTATTAATAGCCTTTTTGTTGGAGAAAAAAGATAGGAGGAGGGGGTGGAGGAGGAAGAATACGAACAGAAGAAGACACAGAAAGAAAGGTAGAAAAGAGATGCCAACAGGAAAGGTTCTTGAAGGAATTTTTCATTGTGAACTTTCTATGATTGTGTAGTCCTGGCAATGAAAATAATTCCAAATCGACATTTATTGCTTTTTTGGACTTTGGGGTACTTTTTTATCAGGAATGAGGGTTTTATGTTTTTAATTGTCTCTTATGTTTTTGATTGTGTCTCTCAGACCTCAAACTGCAACTAAATTAAACAAGCCAATATAAAGAAATGCCAGTGGGAGAATCAGCATTAGGCTCAGGACTGTCACGATAGATTTTTGTTAGAATGAGTCTCTTGATCCTATATACAGCTGAAACAGGTGCTCAGGTGGGCTGTCGCCTTGTCTGCTGGCTGCCGTCTCCAGTGAGACTGTGCTTTAAGTGCCGTGCTGCATTGCGAGTGGGAGCACCCAGGGCTTCGGTGCCATAGTTCCACTTCTGCTGTAATCATTAGTCTTGCTGTGATCCGGCGATGCAGCACTCTGCAGCTCGCTTAGCTGAAACCAGGGCAGACGCAGAGAGGCAGATGGAAGCCAGCCGCCCAACCAGGGATGTCACCGTGCTGCAGGTGGCTGCCGGTGTGCAAAGCGCTGTTTTTGTTATTGTCAAGGAGGAATGAATATGCACGTGTGTGTGTGTGTGTGTGTGTGTGTGTGTGTGCGTGTTGTTTGCCAGGGATGATAGTATGCCCACAGGAGCATGGCTGAGTAGTCATACAGACTGCGTTGTGCTTACCAGCTTGTAATTAGGAGAGGAGCACCGTGGGACCTGGAGCTTATCCAGCAGGGCTGCCCTGACACCAGACCACACCTCGCCATTAGAAGTGTTCAGCTGCACTTCATTAATTCATGCCCCGGTGTCAGTCAGTGAGGGCTCAACACTTCGGCGAGGAAGGCGCGTTTAAATCCACGCTACTGGGTACCTGTCACAGGGTGTGGGTTTTTGATTTAATAGGAACATCAGAAGGATTCAGGATGTCTGGCTCATTGTTAAGTGAGGTGGGGGAACCAAGAGGAGAGTATCAGTGCCCTCTAGAGTTGTCATGGATGGAACTACACTGTTTGCGCTTCACTTTCTGTGACACCAGTAAAAAATATATTGCCGTTAAAGAGTGTGTATGTTTATGTCAAGCTAAATTTTAGGAAGATTCTTTAAGATATGATTATCTAAGAGAGCAGCAGCAGACTGCAGTTATAGTAGTTAATCCATTAGTTAGTCGAAACTGAATGGGATCTATTAATAACAAAAAAATCCCGTCATAACTTTTGTAAAAAAGCACAATTTGACCTCAGTGTTACCTTCTTTTCCTCTGCATAAATACTGGAGGTTTTCACTGCTCCATCATTATGCCTCATTTCATGGTAAGATAAGTAAGAACAGCCCAGAGTTTTAAAACACAGTAAAGCATATGTCCACCTGTGCTCTCTTCCCAGTCATATAGACTCATACACAGGTACATTAGCACATACTGCCTCCTTCAGTCCTCAGGGAGTAAAAAATGGGTCAGAGTAAGGTTGGCCAACCATGAATAGAATGGTGAACCTGTTAAGGTGAATGGAACGGCCAATGGACAGATGTAACCAAAGAGACACAAAGTACTGTTTCTAATAAGTGGAGAAAATCCTTTACATAAAGCCAAAGTGGACTGACTGTTTGTGGAACTGACAGGCAGCAGTGCTCCTCAAGCTGGAGGTGTCAGAGCAGCTGTCTTACATGAGACATTCACATTGAAATTTTATGGTGGAAATGTGTGATCCCACGCACTTAGATGAGGCTCTCCAAATAAAGCAGTCTCATGGCTGGGTGTCCAAAACTGTTTGTGCCTCAAGGTAAGAGGTTTAGTGTGGAGAGAGGCCGAATTTATAATTGAAAGGACAGGAAAGTGATCTTGGATTCCCCGTGATATGGATGCTGCAAATGGTTCATGTGGAGCTGAGTGCATCATGGTTCAACAAAGGCTCATAAGCTTGCTTTTTTATATCCCAAAGATGCTTTAATGCTTTTTGATTGTATGATATTATTAGATAGCTAAAATCGCGTGTCTGCTTTTGATATATGACTTTTCAGCCCACATCATTTTCTTAAAAAATACTCCTACTTTTACAAAACTCTGATAATAAACAGCATGTTAAGGGTATTATATCATATATATATATTAAAGCTCACCTTTACAATTAGTTTTTCATCCATTAAAGGCAAAAAAATGGAAGACACACATAAGGATGTTTTATTCATTTATCTATTTTTTTTATTTTATGCCTTGGTTATCACTAAACTAAGCAAAGCACCCGTTGCATTCTGTTTCATATTTACCCAACATGCTAATAATTTTCAATAGGTGGACATACTTACATGATATACCTTTGCACAACCTATAAGTAGATATTACTGACATCAATAGTTTTTATCAGAAAAACTTAATCAAATTCCTCACAGTCTGGCAGCAGCTCATGAGTCGCCTGTGCTGATGATTAATAAATCATCTACTCGTCAGTGATACTCTTTGATAATGCCAACAGTTGTGACTGTATTAGTGTATCAGTAAACACTCCTATTTTGGGAAAAAACTGAAAAAAAGCATGCATTTGATTTGTCTGTGGATTGCTGTTCTAAACTTTTGTTGTCAAAATTCATGACTTTTTATAGTTTCATTGGGTAGCACACTGGCCAAAAATAGAGAGACCTTTTAAGAATGTTGAGTTGAATAAAGTTTAAATAAATTAATGGTATAAAAAATAAAGACTCCGAAAAGATGCGGTAGCAGCTGAATGCATTAAAGTCTTATCTGCTCTGAAATATTCATGATATATAGTATTGTATAATAGTGAGTGTTCATGTTAAATGTGATTAACCAGCCTACAAATGGTAAAAACTATTTGACATTTTTGTCACTCCACCCAGTGAAAAAGATAATCTAGTTGGTTTCATGCACTGTGTGTGGAGACCATTTCCAACATGCCAACCAGTAAAAGAATGTCAAGGCTTTAAATATCCTGTGTGAGTTAATATTTCATCAACATCTTAGTCCCAAGGCCTCTTCTCCCTTTTTGCATCCCACTTCCATACCGTGACTGTGCACAGAGTGGAAGCTGGCACTGGAATGTCTGCCCTGCACTGCAACCATTTCCTCCGTCTGCTTGGCTATGTTACCCACAGCTAACTCAGCTAACCTAGTGCCCCTCCAAGTGGTTCTCTTCTCACATGTTTTATCAATCCTAATCTTCATGAAAACAGGCTCATCCCATGTGCTAAATAAGCATTCCAAATTAAATTAAAACAAGCTCAGCAGACAGAGAAAAGCAGTTCCATGTGTGGTCCAATGTTTTGTAATGCATTCACTGAGCTTATTCATTATGTATGCCGTGATCACTTGATGAGGAGACAGCCTCGTGCCTAGAACAAAGAGGCGTCATCACTGGATGGGTGACGCCGCTCGTGCTTTGTTGACCAAATGCACTCTGAAGACAGACGCCTTCTTGAATGCACGTACACGTGTGTGCAGATAAATGCAGAGTGGGTTTCAGCACAAACATTAGTTTTCTGCATTTTGGTGTTTTTTTTCCTATGAGTCTGTTATTTATTTATTTTTTCTTTCAAATGGAAACAAGACACTTGTCATCTGGCAAGAATCGACACCATTATACCACCATGTGGATCTCTCAGACATTTCCTGCGGCTTCGCATCACATCCATCCTCCTAAAGACTGAATTATCCTTTTGTTATATCACCCCCTGACCCAAGACAACATAAGCGTGATTCTTTCATGTTTTAGGTTGTTTTTTTTAATTGAGCAAGGAGAGACATCATTGTCACATTCAGGAGTTTGAGTTTATTCGTCCATTTATGTATCAGCCACAGAACTGCGAAAAAGCATTTGATTACATCCTTCCCTCTGCTAGTAATTGTCATTTCTTGCTCGTCTCTTTGTGGGCCTGTTATGGACGAGCAACATAGTCTAAGGTCCTAGACATGATGGCAAAGCCAGTCACATACAAGACATGGCTGAAGAGTTAACCTCTCGGATGCTTTTTAAAAAATGTTTTATTCAACAACTCAAGTTTTAGAAGGTAAATTGAGACATTAGAAGCAAAGTCTAAAGTCTGATCGGGTTGGATAAAAGAAAACAATTAACAAAAGGAGAGTGAATCACTGTAGGCATTGAACAATTTTCAAAAGCTTAAAATGTTTTATTGTTCCTCTGACAGTATGACACATGCAACATATTTTATAGTGAGTGAAAAGAAGTTATGGATGGCAGTTATTGTTCAGCTATGATTTAGATGGGTGTTGTTATTTTTGCCCGATCATGAATGTTTCCTTCACCGTGGGAGAAACCGTAGCTGACTGCCTGCTGACATAATGGGGTTCCCGGGTGGAGCTTTCATGTCAGGTGCTAGAAATGGGGCGGTTTAGCAGCGTAGCTTTATTTATTATTCATG